TTTTTCAATTACCTTATATACATAGACAGAAAAAAAAACATATACTGTTTACATTATATTATCATAACAAATAATTAATTCATACTATCATTTTATATCATAATGTAAGACTATTATTACGCATACATATATGTATATATATTGAATAAAAAAAAAAAATTATGAGTAATGTACTAAATATGAATCTATTTAGTTTGTTCATTTATTTTAGATTAGATTTTTCTTTTTCTACTTTCTAGAAAATGTTGATTAATTATAAGCGAAGGAGAAAAAAAAAAGGAAACCATTTCTGTTATTAATTAGGTAACAATTATACATGTTGTGAACACTTCTAATAATTGCATGTATTTCCTCATTTTGCTCATAGATTGTTACTATAATTTTGCCAATGGCAATGGCATTAACGAGTATAAATATTGTATAATCATGAAATAAATTCATTTTGCTAAGAAGAATTCAAATAAAAAAAAAATATTTTATTTTGTTATGAAATTAAAGTTAATTCAAAAAAATTCAATGAAAATATTGATCATAATCTAATACTATATCAATACGATTATTTTATATGAAGATAAATAAGTAAAACTTTTTGATTTTAAAATTTCAATTGAAAGACACATATATATATATAGAAGATAAAATTAGTTATTTGACCTTGTTGAAGTTTTGTTTGAGTAGATCAAGTAGTATTAATTGAACAAGTTCAACTAAATCAATATCTTGATGATAATATGAAAATTAGATTTTATTCTAAGATAAGATTCTACTATATTTAGTTGCAATATTCATTTTAAATTATTATCATTATTAAATATAAAATATTATCTATTGAAATTGTTTTGATTATTTATTGTTCATATTAAATGACCGTGAAAGAAATTTATTTAGTGTAAAAGAAAAAGAATAGCTCAAGCTTCATGAAACATAATTTGTAAATGAATAGAAGTGTAATTTAATTTTTTGCTTTTTATTAATTTATATCCTAAAATATCAATCTAATAGATTTTTTTTCTCATATAAACCAATCCTATCCTCTAATTGAATTAGTAAAGCTAACTAGAATTTCACGTATCTATATAATTGAATATTGATAACATAAATTCTATTAGTTGATTGCTCATATACTATAATAAATTATAATTCATATTCCAATGATGATTGTATTGGAAGTAAATATTCTTCATGAATTATATATAGTTTTTATTTTGATTATTCATTATATTATTAAGTGTATTCATTTCTGATTGAATAATAGAGAGTTTTTTTTTTCTTCTAATAATTTATATCAAAGACGATTATTCAAATAAATAGTTTAATTTAAATGTAAAAAGTATGATTTTGTTAATTTTGCGATAAATATGAAAGAAAAATATCAACGTCCTTGTAGTGTTTTTATTATTCTTGTCAACATCTTATATTAATGTAAAACTATGTATGTTATTATAAAAAATCATTGAAATAAGAAGGCATAAAAATCTTAGTAGACTAATGTGTCAATTGTATTGATAAGAAATCGCTTTCGGAATGTCTATTCAATCACTATTATTATGACCATCAATAAATACAAAATTGGAAATAAAAGTAATAGTCTAATTTTTCTGAATAAATTATTTTATATATTGAATCAATTATTAACAAATTCATCAAATCGAAAATATGACTTATTCATTGATTGAAAATAAATTGATTTCGTACGAACACAACTTCTTCTCAAAGTTGAGACTAATACAAAAAAAAAAAAAGAAAAGAACTATCATCTTCAAATGAAGTAGAATTAATATATATAATCGAATAAACATAGATAATTGATAATTTTATTTCTATTCATGCAATTCATAAGCATGTTACAATAGGAATTTCTTTTTTTTTTTTTATACAACTGATTTTTTTATCAATGGTATATTACATAGATCGTCCAAAGAATAGTTAGTTTTGTTTAAAATATTAATTGATGTAGTGACTGTTTTTGATGAATAATATTTCGTTATACAACATAACTTCTGAATGAAATTGCCTTAATATAGATTAATAATTGTACATTAATGATAATTCTAGATGTGAATAGCATAAATAATTATTAAAAGTCAAATGATTGATGATAGTCGAATTCCAATTCAGCGAATAGAACATACTATTGGCATTGCAAATATATAATGTATAGAATTTTGCTAGATCAATCACATATGATTTCAGTTGGAATGTTAAACTCGTTAACATCAATTCATCAGCATAGTTAAAAATGTAATCCATAGAGAATTATTCGCCTTTAAATTAACAAATCGATTAAAGAATCGTAGTTTACAATAATAGATGGGATTGATTTATATATTTTTGTCATTGAACCAAGTCAAAACTTATAGAAAAATTAACACATGTATTAGAGTATCAGATTTATGTAAAAACTCGATATTATCTTCTTAAAAGATATTTATAAAATATAAAAAATATCATACATCTATTGATTTTATATTCAAAATTTATAAACATCGAAAAATTGATTCAAAATAAGATTTCAATATGAATTTGTGCAGCTTCATTTGTTCTATTCACTGCTATATTTTTATTCTAAAAATTAAAATAAATAATTGATTCGAATACGATTGATAAAAAAAAGCAATTTAATCGACCTTACACGTTACCTTTTTCTTTCTTTCTTTGTGTCCCATTACGATCAAGCATGATAATCGTTGTTGTATAAGTCACCAAATTCTCTGTATTTGAGGTTGTTACTATTCATTGCATAAAAGCCTTTGAGAATATCAGCACAACGATTCCTTGCCATCGGCAGATTATGATTTTAGATAAGAACTATGACACAGTCTTGATACATATATAATATGGTATAATTCAACATCTTTTTTAAAAATCTTTTTCTTTATTGTTTTGCTATGATTAAAATCCATCTACTTGAAATGTCATGTGTCGCGCAGTAGTGCCGAACTCGAAAGTTAAGTTTAGTTGAACAGCTACTATTCAAGTCTTAAGTTTCAAATTTCAATTGGCTTTATTTTTGCGGCACTGACGTCGAGAGGTTGACTGCGTTTATTGGAAGTTTGAAAGTTGAAATTTGACACTTGAAATTTAAAACTACAAGTTCAAATTTTCGAGTTTCAAGATTGGTATATATGTTTATTAGTTGTTTTCTGATTGATTTATGATCGAATTTAATCGTATACAGCTGTAAAATAATCTGTTAAAAGTCATAAAGTAGCCTTATCGCTTCTTCTTAAACTTCGTACGATCATAAACAATCATTAGTATTTTTATCATATCCCATTGGGACAAAAGTGTTTATGGTTGTCGAATTTGCATCTCAGTACGTACGGTATGCGGTGGATTATGTTTTTTTTTCAAGAAGATCCGTTTCATAAAGACAAATCAAGCTGCAACTTTTGAAAGGTTTTATTTAAAGGAAATCTTTCTATAAATATGTTTCATGATTCTTCAGTTGAAGATAGATAAAGTTGAAACAATCTATTTGTTACACTAGATGCGATCATTAAAAATGTAGTTTGTCCTTTCTGTTTTTATTCATGAACCAAGAAAAACGATCATCATTTACGAAAAAAAAAATCCTAAAGCATGTATCGATTTCAGGTATTTGATCACTTCAGTTTTTTTCTTATGCTGACTTTTCTAGTTTTACAGTAGAAATATTTTAAAAAATTTTTGAGTAACGATATTAACTTCACTAGTTTATACAAAAATATACAAATGCATCTGTTTTCGAGGATTCCAGTTAAGCTTGCTGACATCGGAGCCGGATGAACAGCTTTTAAACTTTTATTATACGTAGTTAGCATCATATTATTCACATTTATTATGAAAAGAAGTTATTTGAAATGTAATTCTTTTTCCTTCATTGTAATAATGGCGTAATTGTAAGTGGATCGGGTCCGAAAGTTTTTGGATTCAACATGCCTTGCCTACCATTCATGGTTACATCGCTACATGACAACTTTGGACGCCAGAGAGGTTGAAAACCTGAGGAGTGAGCGATGAAAGTATCTTCAATTATGAAAATAAATTGCCTCAGTGAAATTCAATGCTAAGTTTCAGTAACTTTCCAAATTTTACTTCCACCTATGATGGAAATGCCGACTGTGTTTTCTCTTTCTGTTATTGAAACAATGAATAATGAAATCGACTAATATTAAGACGAACCGATATTAGACAAATCTAATTCATGCCAAAGAAATCTGCGAGGAGATATTGTCAAAAGGAATCAGCAGATGTCAGCGTCGAAATTTGTGCATTTAGTAAGCGTTAGTGTGATTGATGTCCGGCACAAAGACAGGTTGCTGTTATTTAAATAGCCTTTGGTTGAGACTGTATAGAGACCATCAATAAGTTTAAGTTATTGGAAGATGATTTGAAAATGATATCTGCAAATCTCTTCCAATCGATTCTCTCTATTGATGAGCATCGTAATGCGGTTGAATAAATATTGATCTTCGATGATCATTTGTACTGACGATAGTAAAAAATCAGACAAGTTTATCACTGATAAAGAAATATCATAGCAGAGAAAATTCATAAAGTAGCAAATCAATTGTCAATAATTTTAGATAAACATTGTTTTCAATCAAATTGTGTTCAACTCAATTGTTCATTCGTCATCGATCATCACGTCGTTAGTCTCACTTTCGTCTCAATATCACGAGAACACTTTATTTGCGCTATTAGAATATCCATATAATGAAAGTAGCGGGTAAGAAAGAAAACTATTTTTCGTTCTCACTTCATTGTAGTGAATTAAGTAAGTCGACCACGGCTTTTCACAAAAGACGGAGACCTCAATTTTAACAGGTACACAAACATTTTTCTAATTTAAATTGATCGTTTTCAATAGAAGGATCAATATTGAACGGCATTGTTGTCGATATTTAATTGATTATTTTACAACACTGTTGGATTTTAATTGGCGTTGGATATTCTTCTTATTCACGGTGACATTTGTTTCCTCATGGTTACTATTCGCCTCCATTTGGTTCATAATAATGAAAGTTCATGGTGACTTCGAACTGAGTGATCGAACACCATGTGTAGCTGGAGTGACGACATTTGTAGGATGTATACTTTTTTCGATTGAGACTCAACAGACGATTGGATATGGGACTCGATCTGTAACTCAACAATGCACAAGTGGTGTTATTACTGTGATGGTGCAAATGTGGTTTGGTCTCATTATTCAATCGCTCTGGATGGGTATCATCTATACGAAATTGGCTCGTCCGAAGAGGCGTCGTCATACATTGATCTGGTCTCGTCAAGCCGTCATAGGCGTCCGAAACAATCGTTTGGCTCTTCAAGTTCGTCTTGGCGATATCCGGCATCATTCCACTTTACTCGATGCTCATGTTCGAATGTATTTCATTTCCAAACGTAGCACTAAAATAAACGAATCGATTCCTCTGAATTTGATCGATATAAATGTTAGCTCTGATACTGGTGTAGACCGACTCTTACTTGTCTGGCCTGTGATTATCGAACATCGCATCGATCCGAAAAGTCCATTTTGGTCAATGGATAAAAAAACTTTAGAAAAAGCTGACTTCGAAGTGTTAGTTGTCTTAGAAGGTATAATTGAATCAACAGGACTACTAAGCCAAACTAGAACATCTTATACGTCACAAGATATTGTATGGGGAGGAAAATTTGAACAAGTTGTTTATTATGATTCACTCGCGGGATTGACGATTAATTATTCGAAATTCAATTCGATTACCACGGATGATGGCCCTGGTCCACTTTTAGCAACTGAATTTAACACAAGATATTCTGGAGACTAATTTTCAATGTTTTCACCTGCTTCATGACCAAGATTCATTGCGAGTCTGTTTGATGATTTATTGAATAGAATTTCTAAATAATTGTTCCTCTCTATGTAATCGTCTTTTCCTAATAAATTTTTTTCTACGGTATATTTTGAGAAACTCAACCGATGACTGATGAGAGTTTCATACAATCTTTCGATAGTTGCTTCACCCATAAGCCATGGGATTAAAGGATTTCCAGTAGAGAAATTTAGTCTTTCGCTTTGGTTCTAATCGAATTCAAGGAAAGATTGTTCATCCGACGCATTGTATTTCACTATATAATCTGTTGAACTTCATCTTTAAAACCTATGCATGCAATTTCTGTTTGTTCTCATACATTCAACACGAATATCTTGCATCTAAATCCACACTCACACCCATACCCACATACGATACAATCAACGTAAAATCGAAAAAAATTAACGCGATGACTTAACAGCGTACTTGCCAGTAATTTACTACTGGGTTATCAGCCATGGTTTTTCTTAAATATAAGATAGTTTTTGAGTTCATTAATTTCACATGGTATAGTTACCTTAAGGTTAAAATATTTTAGATATGAGATATATTTAGTAATTGAAAATGTAAACATGAAAGTCTATCAATTCAATAGTAAAAAAGAAATATGAAAGTTAACCGCAAAATTTCGATCATTCTCGTACTAATTTATATTATGTGAAGTTAGTGTGAACCAGTGGCGTAGCTAGGAATTTTTGAACTATGGGCCGTTTACCAGCAAAATTATTTTGAGCGCTGGGCAATAATAGGCAATTGAAAAATCAATTGGGCTGTTACTTTTTTCAAAAACTGTCTTCTTTCAGAAAAGTTGACGTTTGACGTAAAGCGATTTCTTACTCTCAACTAAAAGAAGCTCTATCTCTTTTGCTGTTCTTATCCACAAAACGAGCTTTCGATTTTCACATAATCGCATACTTAACTTCGAAGAAAAGTATAAAAAGATAGAATTGTAAATGATGATGGTAAGTATAGTAATTCCGATCCATTGGGAGTTTTTTAGCAACTGTTATCGAGTCTTTCGGATTTTTTGTATATTTTTTTCATAAAATAAGCAAAAATATATCTTTTTTCATATGTTGCATACTTTTTTTGATGCAAACGCTGTTTGTGTAGAAAAGGAAGGGTCAGGCTGCTTGAATCAGTCAGAATTCATCCAGAGATTCTTGCTATATTTTGGTAACCTACTTTTACATGAACTGATACTATTACAACAAACCTGTGTAATGGTTTGAAGTTGTAGTTTATTACAGATATACTTGTACTGCTCTTATTATTTTTATAGCGTATCTCCTACAAACTTCAAAAACAGTAAAAGAAACGTGATACGAAAGTAGGTTACAGATTCCGTTAATGAATGATATTTGTCTGACGAAGAGCTAATCAATATGAAAAATCAGTAGAATTCTCAGTGTTACGAATTTCTAACTTTACTTATCGACGTTGATTGAAACAAAAATGATTGAAACGCACAGTAAACATTACTATAAGATAGCTGCAACCCTATCACTGTATCGACTGGAATACGAATATGGATGGTAGAGAAGTAGATTTCTCTGTCATATGGCCAGAGATATGAAAAATGACCTCATGTTAGCACTCATTTCGGTCGGATTCACTCAAACTCTCTCAGCGTTATCGATAAAGAAAAAACACTATGATTAAAATTCTGCATTAGTTCACATACCGAATCTGTTTCTAATTGATGACAAAATCTGTTGAGTTCATGATAGTTTTAGTTTTTAAGTTGCGTGAGTTATGTCACCAGTCGTCCTGTCAAAGTATTGTATTTAGACTATGGCATTGCTATCATATAGGTTCAATATAGTTTCATAAATGCAGAAAAATCGTTGATCATTTACTCAAGTTTTAGATTGACGAATTGAAAAAGAGTGACGCGGGGACTGACGAAAAATACCGTTGAATTGTAATTGATGTAGTTGTTTGTTTAATCAGAAAAGACCGTTCTACATAACTACTTAGATTAGATTATTATAGGAAACAATTTGATAAAATAAAGTTATTTCGACTCTGAATATGCGTGTGTCTCAGATATTTTGGTATTGGGCAATAACTATCTTTCCGGAAAATTATTGGGCAATAAGTTTTCAATTACTGGGCAATTGCCCAATGGCCACCCCCCTGGCTACGCCACTGGTGTGAACATAAAATGAATTAATGATTGTAGAAGACTCTTTCTAATCAAAAATTTTCGAATATAAATGAAAATAATGATGATTATTATTTAATTCAAAAATAGATCAATTGTTGCTTGGTTGAATATGCGTTTTTTGAAACATAACCATATGTGAGTATTTTGTTTAATAATCTATGTATTCTAGAATGTATGAAAAAAGTATTAAATGATGATTCGTTATTTACTTTATGCAAAATTTTCTTCAATATTTGTTTGTATGCATTGAATGTCAGGAATATATAATCTATACACCCTCGGCTCTTCGAACATTACGAATACGGATTATCTCCAATAAATATATCGAATCGTTTTTGAAATTGTAAAAATTCATTGTGATGATGAATGCTTTGTCGATATGGAAAACGTCAACCAGACGTGATGTCGTTGAACATCCGAATGAGACGAAGAAAATGCCATTGCGATAAAAAAAAGGCACAGTTTTGAGTACTTGTCATAAAATACACATTGATATTAAGAAACGTAACTAGATAAGAGGGCTTCGAATACAAGTTTTTGTTAGAGATCGTTGTTCTCTACATGATAACGATCACTACTTAGTTGCAACGAAGTAACATGTCTGTGATATTGAGTTTTTTGTTGTCGTTCTCTTATTAATTTACAAGAAAGTAAAATATTTTACACTGCGTGGTTCTCGATTTGGATAGTCATTCGGTGATACATTTCAATTCTGGCTTGGTCCAACTCGTGTCATTGTCAGGGTAACCAAATCGATATTTTTGAAACTAGAAAGTCTCTGGAAAGAAGCTAGGAGATTTTTTCGATAACTAGATTACATTGAATGGCATTTTTTAATGAAACGCTGCTATTTCTGCTTGTATGAGCGCCTGTTACTTTCTAATAAAACATGCATGGTTATATTTGCTGGCAAACAATATACAACACATAAGACATATGATTACAAGTATTCTATATTATTTTTCCTGTCATATTTGTTCAAAACAATATCTAAATAATATAAAAGAAAAGTTAACTTGTAAACTTATACGCAGCAGAAAAAGCTTAGTAACAGTAAGTTGTTTAACTTACCATGCATAACACTTTGCAACAAGTGAGAGTTCTCTGATGTACATTTGAAACAAGTGTTCATCTTAATTCTTGTGGAACTCATATATATTTTCGAAGAAAATAATGACTGTACGTTTTACGTCGAATTTGCGGCTCCTCGTCATTTATTTACAGACCTTAGTAACATCGCCCGCTCCTTTCCACCGCAAACCATAGTAACTGTTACACCAGCTCCTTCTTCCATTCTGCTAATTACAGACGTGCAGAACAAGAATTCAACTATGGATGAATATCACAGCATTATTAGTCATTTAATTCAATGCTTATGATAATTGGAATTGTTGAATAAAAAAAAAACTATTACACAAATAAAACGCCATGCAGAAGGGTGTGAGTATGGGTGGGTGTAGATGTGAGAGTGGACAGGAAGAGATCAAGACTCACAGCCACACTCCACCATTTTTCTACTCAAGCTATGGAAAATTTTATTTTAATGGTATACTGCGTCTTTCATGCAACTTCAAGCTTTTTTTGCACATTCATTTTTCCCAGCAGCGTCGCTGCAGTTTACGCGTCGATTCTGCATCCCTTGTGTGAAGGCTGAAGGACGAGCAAGAAAGTGAAATGAATGGTCTCACTCGTCACACCAGGCTTTTTTTCTTTCTTTTCACAATGTAGCTTTGACGATATTTTTTTCATGATTTACTTCGTTCTCCTTCTTATTTTGTTTCGTAAAATTTAATTTACTTTTCTGCTTTTGACGCAGAATTTATTTTTTATATGTGTTCAAGGCTCATCTGATTTTTTTACGCTTTGTTGTACAAAAACAAATTGATGGCGTATTTTGAAAATTTTCTTTCCAGAATAAATTTCATTTGCTTACAATTACCTACTGGTGAATTCTGTTCACTACAAAGCAAAATCAGCGATGATTCTCGAAATAATACTGGTTGTGTTCATTTTATACGTCTCACAAACTCAGCATCAAATGCATCATGCGCTAACGGCGGCAGGTAAATATTTCCGTTTTACGATTTAAAGGTAGTTTTCTTTTTTCGCCCTTTTATTTTGGCGCTGTTTTCCATGATTGTTGCAAATAGACTTAGGAGTTGTTTCATGAGTTCTCAATCATAAAAATAGAAACATTATCAAATTGATTAGAAAATATTCAGATTTATAGATAATTTATCAACTATCATTCCGTTGAAAAGCTGCCTGCGCAATCTTTGCGGGATTAAAATGTGACACACGAAGTAGCTGCTATTACTAATCATTAGAATATTGTTTTCTTTGATCGATCTTGGAGTCCATTTTTAAGTCATCTTTTACTTTAGCCTCAAAAACTGCAATATGGAAGCAGTTAATATATTCTCATCAGATGCTAGTGATAGATCATCGCTAATCGTGTATCAAAAACGCCTTTCAAAGTCTTTGATAGTCCCTGCAACCCGTCAGTCGTGGTTTGTTATGAATATGAAGGGTGTAAGTGTGATGCGTGAGTGTCTTCTACTTTATATACTTACACCCACAATTTTCCCAAGAATCTGTTACTTGAAACAGTTACTGATCATTGCAACTGACTATTTATTAATTCTCTTCGGTATTTTGTATAATCTTTAACCATATTCTTTTGTTTGATTATTTGTCGATTTGTTGAAACATTGTTCGAATCAGATGCGTGGAAGGCTATCGAAATAATGTATTACTATTGTAATGAAAAGTCTCCGATTCAATA